ACCTCCAAGCCGCCGGAAGGAAAGAGAACGAAGGCCTCTCCTCCTTTCTTCTTATAATCTGGCTTACGTAAAAATCGTAGGGAATACTGGGTAAATCTGGACCCTTCCTTGGTTACAAACTAGTCACCAAGGAAGGCCCAGGCCAAACCACCACAGCTTGTTAAAGACAATCAATCCAAGTGCGTCATCTACTGTGTTTAATTTTCCTTTTTTCCTTAAATGGAGAAATTTATCAAGGATTGAATTCAGTGTTACAAACAGTGGGTGAGCTCTTGAAGGCTGAGGAAATATTCTGAAGAAGGAGCTTTGTGTGTTTTGCTGGTTCCTATGCTATGTTGTAAAAACCATCTCTTTTTAGGTGCAGCTGGAGATGGGATAGTAGATGGGTGCCTCATCTCTGATCTCCTTTTATGATGATGATTCTTTAGCAAAGTGATATTTGATTGGGTAAATTCCCTAACTCAAAAAGTTAAGGAAAGTATCGAAATCATGTTCAGTTTAGTGTTCCTATTTAAAAACCAGTACAGAAATGTTCTACTCTAGGAAAATTAAAAAAAAAGCTCAGTTGTTTGAATGAGAGACCTGAATTTGTGTGTTATGTTATCACCAAGTTCTTCTGAGAAATGTGGGGATGGGGTTCTTCTGGAAATAAGGATACTTTTAGATGCTTAAACGAGAATTTGCATGCCTAGTTCAGGACATCTTTATGGGCAAGACTGAGCCTTAACAGATTTCCTTCCTTTTCTTGATCTGTTTTTAATTCTTTTTAAAGTTTGTAATATATGCTTATTGCAATAACACAGTCTATGAATTTAGAAGTGTAATTCTGGCTCTATAAGGGCTTGGAAAGAAGAATTCACAAAATCTGTCAGTGAGTGCTGCCAATCTCACTAGGCTTTCTCTGTAGGCAGTGGAGAGCCAGCCTTTCTAGAGAGCAAATCAAAGCAGGAGCTCAATTTAGCCACTCCGAAATCTTCTTTACAATAAAAGGATGTTTGTGTTCTTGCTACGCTAGAGTTAACTGTTGTGATTACCCTTCACAAAGACTTATGTCTTTATTCTTTATAAAGTCATGGTGAAACACAGCCTGTATGGGAAAGGCAAATTCAAATATATTTAAATGCTGAGGCAAATAATTTAAGAGCTATCACAGAAAATACTGTCTGTGTATCTGGAAAACTCCTTCAAAAATAGGAAAATGGTCTTTATATTTGGCAACCCTGCTAGCTTTCACAATATAGTTAAAAAGAATGGCAAGTATTTACTCCAGAGACTTGATGCAATAACTAAGAAGTTACTGTCTACCTACTGCAGCAGTGTTGGCAAAAATAAATCATAGAAGACTAAGTTTTCATCATGTCTTCACTGCCAGTTTAAGCAGATGCCGGACTTGACTCGAAGAATCTGAAGTGTTGTCATATTTTCAGTTTGCGGGGTTGGGAGGGTGTTGGAGAGTGGAAGGCTGTACTGTGAGAGAGGGTCGAAGCAGAGAGTGGGAGCTCATAGCATTTCCAGCTGGTTCAAGAGAAATCGTGAAAGGTATTTTACCACTGCTTAAAATTGGTTACTGTTTCGGGTAGAAGAGAGTTTCTCGTGTTTTGTATTTCCAGATGGACCTTCAACTGATAAAGAATCTGAAGAAAAGAAAAAGGAGCCTGCATCTTCCTCTCAAAACAGCCCTGAAGCCAGAGAAGAAAGGTGCTTAATTCTTTGTGACTGTTCAAATAATCTCACTAAGTATAAATTAGTGTTAAAGTATTTGGTCCAAATTTGTCATATTAGAGACAGCTACCATATTCTTTTCTGAAAGACATTAAGTTTTCTACAAGAAAGAGTGTGTTGGTAGAGGAATAAATTGTGCTGTTGTTGACATGAAAAAAAAAAGAAAACCGTAAGTCAAGATATGGCCAAACAAGTTTACTGTTTATTCCATCTGTCAAATGCTCCGTCCTCTCTCAGTACTAGCACTGAGCTCTGAGATCTGTAAAACAACTTTCAGTCTCAGCTTTGTGGTAATTGCATGTGCTGGACGTTTAGAATACTTACTTTGTCTGTTAACTTTTATGTTTAATAAACAATCTGCATTTTTTTTGGTAAACACAAAATATGTTAACATAAAAAGGAGACCATATTAATGTCACTGCAGGAGAGCTAAAGAACATTTACAAAAGAGTATTTGCAAGCTCGTTTCTTCTATACACTTCAGGTTTTAGTGAATCTGTTTTCAGCAGCCATTTTCAAACTGGAATTTAGCTTCTAACTATATGTCCAGATGGAAGCTGAAAACTCAGTTTACAGTTTGCAAAACTACATCAGTTGGGGAGGAAAGGGGTTGTGACCATGGTACCCCTTCAATACAGTAAACAGATTGAGCACAATGCATTTGCTGCGGAGTGCATGTTGGTGCAATGTGTCTTCACTGTTTTTTAAAGTTCTGTGGGAGGAAAAAAAAGATTTCATGTTAATGTAAAGAACTGAGAATTAAAGCTTGTATGCCACATAATGGAATGAAATACCTGCTGTGACTGTTGTGTGGAATACCCTGGTGAATAGTCTAAAGACACTTTATAGATTATATTGACTCCAGAGCTATAAATAGCTTTTAAAAGGTGGCCTGTGTTCTTATTTTGGAATGCCATCAAATGGATATAACAAAAGACCTGCATTTTGCCCAGAAACAAAGTCATTTGAAGAAGGGAAAAAACATTAAAATAGTTTTCTTTTTACCTTTTTTTAGCAGTTCAAGTAGCAATTCCAGCAGCAGGAAGGAGGAGGGTAGTGCTCCTTCAAATTCTTTCATCCCTTCTTTTCCCCGAGCTCCAAGCACTTCAGACTCTGTACGAGTGAAATGTAGAGAAATGCTCTCTGCAGCTCTCAGAACAGGAGGTGAGCTTTGTAGAATATGTTTTCAAGTTTATCTGTTTTCTTCTCTTCTATTTCTGTCTTTCCCGCTCTAATTTTCTCCTCCCCCGTAGGGTAGAATAAACCCTTTTTGTGTCTGTTCGTTTGTGTATATCCGTACGCCAGTTCTACCAGTTGCAAGTAGTGAGTAACCTTGGCAGCATGGAAATGTATCAAAATACATTTTTGTTGCTGGTAACATGGGACATTTTGTGGCTCAGTTCATCTGATAACTTTCTGACAGGGCAACTTCTTTTCAGGAAGGTTTTTGCCTCCTTTAATGCCTTATTTAAATATTTTTGCAGAAGCCACTATTTTTTTTGTAACTCAGTCTTTTTGACTGAGAGAGTACCACTATATACATGACTGCCTTTCTTAAACTAGACATCCTAGGGACTTTCAGATTTTGGTTTTTGAATGCTGCCTTTCTGTATTAATTTATTCTTGATGTTTCGTTGAGATACTTGGAATAGGAGAGTCTTGTATTGCTCTTCATGCCTTTTGGGCATCTGTAAATTCCTTGACTGTTTTGGTTTGAGTTTTTTTTTCACCTCTCATGTACACTTGAGTGTCTTTACACTGGCAAATTGAACGATATACTAGATAAGGAACAAACTGAAAGCTGGACTTCTCAGAATTACCTAATTTTTTTCTAGTGGGTCATGCTCTTCTACCAAACTTATGACTCAGCTCCTGTTTCTCTCTTCTTTGGGTGTAACTTGACCCAGTGTAAATAGGCTTCTGAATCATCCATGTTTACCCCTTTCACTCTCTTATTCTTTCTTTTAATTCGTATGAATTCAGATACAGACAACAATGAAAGCTGATTAAATACCATGAATTTGTGGTCCTCTGGATATGTGGGTTATAGACTTCTAAAGCAATTTATGACCAGAAAGTTGCATGTAGCATCTTAGTATTTATAATTCTATGTATTCTTAATTTTAGCTAGTTTTCCAAGAACCCTTTTTGATGTGTTGCTTTGTACAGCACATATAAACTGATGATCCATGGTCAAAAAATAAGGTTATTTTCTGGTTTTATGGCCTTCGGCATGAGATCTAAGGAGAAATGGTGTTTGAATTGCTCATTGAAGTACACCCATGTTGAAATGAGGGTAAAACACTGTATCTAATTTGCCCTTCAGCTATCATGGAAAGGCAGCTGTCTTTGTGAGTAAAGAGTTTTGGTCAGAAACAGTAAACAATTATCTTCAGAAATTGTGGTTCAAGTGTTGCATTGTCTTCAAGACTGCTGTGGTCCATCTCTTCTAATTTACATGTTTTATGACACATTTCTGCTTTGAACTTTTAAAAAAATCTAATAATACAGTTTCTGTTACTTAATTACTATGTTTCTAATAAAATCTTCCTCTTGCTTGCATGGAAAACATTTATTTGCTTATTCTTGTATTGTGTGGATTGAAACAATTGACTAAACACAATATAAAATGTTTCCTTTTTATAATAGTTTATTCTATGCACAGATATGCTGTGGAGATGGGTATTTGCCAAGCCTAAAAGAATGTTTTAAATTTTTCTGTATAGCAGGTTTTTTTTTTTCTACTCGTGTTTGTTACTGGATGTCAGAATTTTTGGTTTTGTGAAAGGTTTTTAATTTCTTTAAACTTCTGTTGTGCTTCATTTCACTTATTCTTGTTCTTCCAATTAGCAAGTTTTGAAAGGATAAGTATGCAGTAAATAAAACTTACCTACACAAAAGGAAGACTTACTGCAGGTGTCTCATAATTTGCTGAGCTTCAGAGTGCTGAATAGGCTCTCAGGGACAGAGAACACTGAGAATTTCAGTTTGCTAATATTTTAGTATTTGTTTTCCTCAGATGATTATATTGCTATTGGTGCTGATGAAGAAGAGCTGGGTTCTCAGATTGAAGAAGATATCCTTTGTTGTATATCTGTGTGCCCTAGAACAGGAATATTTTTTAAAAGTGCTGATAATTTTAAAATTAATTAACTTGATCTACATATTGAGTATTTGTAAATTTCATGTAAAACAAAAATAGCAAACTGTGTTCAACACATCAGTACATAAATTTAGTGTTTAAAAAAAGAGTCCAACTGAAATGATTTGCCTTAAGACATGTAGCAATGCATGTAGGTGAGTGTGTGTGTGGGGGGGTTTTCAGCTCAGTATGTTTTCCTTGCAGCAGCAATCTTATGTCTTTCTGAAGCTTTCTTACATAAAATGCTGGGCTCTTCTATGTTATTTAAAAACCTTTTCTTGTTAACAGTCTTTACCTTTTTCTAATGTCTTTATTTCTACAAGATTATTTCTAAATGAATTTTGAGTTTTTGAAAGGGAGGTTCTGATAGCAGTGTTTGAATAGTTCTAGAACAGAGGTCTGGCCTTCTTTTTTTCTTTAAAAAAAAAATGTCACTGATCTGTCATTGTTTGAATATTTGGTTTGGAAATTAATTAATTCTTAGTGTGAGGTCCAAGAACCTGGCCATAAGCTTATGGGTGACTTTTCACAATTTCAGTTGAGAGCCTCCTACCCAAAAATTCATGGTTCATGTGTTTAACTTGTGATTAGGCTTCAGAAGGACATGAAGTCTGCTGTGTTGAACAGGAAAGTGACTGTTGGTTGGGGACTTGATCAAAAGCGAAGAAGTACATTGCTTTAGAAAAGTTACCCCCCAAAATGAATCCTTTATAGTGCTCTGTTTTACTTGTTAATGTTTTGCTCCTTAAATACAAAGCACCTATTTTTCAAGAATTAAAAAACACTGATATGAAATACAAAAATAGAGTACGAAGTAGAATAGCAAATCTCAAGGATGCAAAGAACCCTAATCTAAGGAAAAATGTATTATGTGGAAACATTCCTCCTGACAAGTTTGCCAAAATGACAGCAGAGGTAAGTAAAACATAGTCTTGAACTATTTCCCCATTGGACTAACATCCTGGCTTGCATTGACTAGCCATAAAAGTAATTTATGTAAGCTGCCCACACTTCTGAAAGACTGTGGCTTGTTTGTGGCTTGCACAGCCTAAATTACAGGGCTTTGTTGAGGCAGAGGCCATGAAAGTGATGTGTGTTATTGGATCCTAAATGTCTGACTTTTGACTGTAAGTCAGCAGGCAGGTAAGCTGTTGCTATCTCGAAACATGGCATGTTTTTAAAAGGCCACATGATATACTGGTAATAGTGTTTTAAGTTTAGGAAGATGTAAATATGACTGGCTAGTGACTCCAAGCTGCTTATCAATTCCTGTTTCTGGATATTTGTTAGTCTGTCTTGCCATTTGTTTTTCACATGCTGACCTCTGCAGTTACACTCCTAGGCAAGGTATCGCTTTGTGAATTTAAGGATCTGTCCCCTCTTCTGTTGTCATTTGTAGTATTTATTTAAAACTTATATGTATCTTGTATGTATCAATCTTGAACATTTTGGACACTTGAATAAAATTTCCCATTCAGATCATCGTTGTCTTTGCAAATCAAAATAAATCTGGAAAGTCAAATGAAAAATTTGATTTTATGGGAGAGAAAAATGGAAGCATAGTTAACATCTTGTTTCAGTTTTGTAGTTCTGCTTCTATATGTTAGATTTTACCCCCCCAGATCAGGTACAAAGGAGACTGAAAGATATTAAATTTATGATCAACTAATGAAAATCGTGATTATTCCAAAAGAAAATTTTTTTGTGATGGTTTTTTTTGGTTGGTTGGTATTATTTTGCTGTAACTTTACATAAAGGTCAGGGCAAACAGACTGGTAAAAGAATGTATAAAAAAAAGGAAATTGTACCTTCAGTATGTGTTCTGGAGGGGTTTTTTTCCCCCACATGTTTTTGTATGGATGCACAAACATATATTTTGTGTTGTCCAGTGCCTGTTCTTTTTTCAATTAATGTCTTGAATTAAAATGTTAAAGGCTAAAAAACCCTTTAGTGTTAAGATTACTTCTGAAGTGAAACAGCATTAATACAAGATTTGCATTCCACATCTGTGTGGGATGTGGAGTAAAACTGTATTGAAGAAAAATGAAACAAATAGTTTTCTAGATTACTAGACATTGTGGAAATCCTACACACTAGAACTGTTTGAAAGGAAATAGAAAATTGGTGATTCTGAGCTCCTTGGTTAGTGTTTTGAAGCGAAGCATATATGATTTCTGGTTGCATATGTTAAATTATGGCTGTACTGTATTTTTCAGTACAAATATGCAAATAATCAAAATAGTGTAAATTTTTTCCTGTAATAGTCCTATGTAGGTCAATGAGATAATTATCCAAGGATCTAACCTAGGGAGAGGATCTTTTTTGCCCCTCTGGAGAACTTTAAAGTCCTCTCCCTTGTCTATCTTATATTAAATGCATTTGCATAGAAATGTTTCTAGATGTTTGACGTCGTAACTTTTACAGATTTTTTTTTTCCCCATCTGCGTTTAAAAAAAAGAACATTTTTAACTTTTTGTAGCTTCTGTGCTGTGAGATATCCCAACTGAATTCTTGTAAATTTAAAAATGTGTAGAAATTCAGTGCCTTTCAGTAGAGTTGTTGCTCATGGATTCTAAATAAAAAATGGTATTGGCTCGCACAGTTGTAACTTGTTTTAAAGCAAAAACTCTCTAGTGAACTCTGTCTGCTTTTTGACCTTAACAGGAAATGGCAAGTGATGAACTGAAAGAAATGCGCAAAAATCTGACCAAAGAAGCTATCAGAGAGCACCAGATGGCTAAAACAGGAGGTACCCAAACTGATCTGTTTACATGTGGCAAGTGCAAAAAGAAGAACTGTACATACACCCAGGTGCGTGGTTGTTCAGACTCTTCGTTTTCCTTTTTCAAAGCTTAAGTCCTGTATAAAGATTGTCAGAGAAAAAAAATTGGAATTACAAAATGAACTTTTAACAAAATGCTGACAAATTACAAAATGTGAAGGTAGGTGGATGCACTTAGGTGTGCTTACATATAAAGAGTGTGTGTTGTATTTATTTGCCAAAGATTTTATGTAAACCCTAGCTGAGTATCTGTACAGGCTGGAGCTTCAGTTTCTTTGCAATGCTGAGTTTTTGCTAACTCTTTTTATCACATCTTACTAATATGTTTTTGTGTGGAGGAGAGATAACATACTGGTTTTAACGTGCGTAAACTTTTTTGTACTGAAGGACTAAACAGAAGAAAATTATATATATTTATTATATCTATATATTATTATATAGATATTTATTGTACCATTCGACTAACCCTAGGCCCTGATTTACAGTCTTTCCTACAACTGCACGAAGAAGGGCTTTAATTTGTTAAACGGTGCTTCAGGGAATGTAATTTTCATCTTAGTATCAACTGCATTTATAATTTAATTTTGTGTATCAGATGCTTTAAGTAGAAAGTTGTTTTTCAATCGTGAGACTTTTAAGCCTTTACATTGGTAAATATATGTAAAGCTGTACTGAACATGTAGCCTTCTGTAGTGCAGAATCTTTTCCTAGAAATAAGTGCACGGTTTCAACGCCAAAATTGGTATTTTAGTGCTACTAAATCTGTCAAAATCTAAGTTTATGATGGCTTTATAGTTAGAAAAAAAACCAGTTTCAATTGTTGAGTAAAGTTCACTTGTATTTTGATCGAAATTTGCTTCCTTAATATTAAACTTTAATTTAAACACATACATGAACACGCACTAACAAAAATTGAAGATACTAATTTTCTTTTTCCACTCTGTCTCTTGCCTTTGCCAAAGGTTCAAACCCGCAGTGCTGATGAACCCATGACAACATTTGTTGTCTGTAATGAATGTGGAAACAGATGGAAGGTAAGACTGTTAGATTGCTCTGCATATTTGATAGCAGGCAGCCAGGCTCTGTGGTTAATTTTGGTTTACAGTAAATGAGACAAATGACTTTCTGTTGACTTTTAGTTATTTCTTAGCCCATTAATGATATTCCACGTTAATATTGCAAAATACCTTTGAATTAAAAATGTATTTTTGACTGAAGTTGTGAGATCACACAAGTAAGGCAGTTGCAAATGGGGAGAGAAGTCAGGATGTTGACCTAGTCCTTGCAACATTTGCCATACAAAGTAGTGACAAGTTAGTCAGTCACTGTGTTAGTTTTCTCTTTCTTCGCCCAAAGATGATCTAACTGGTTTTAATCTCCGCATTGATGAGTGGAATAGGCCTTTTTAGACTTTTTGTTGTTATCATTGTCTCCATTTTTTGCTACTCTGACAAGAGGAGGGGGGATAATAAAGAGAACTGACTGCTACTATATTCCGGTGTCATCATAAGTGTAGGGCAGTGATAACTTGATTTAATTTTTTTTAAGTTCAGGAAATGGGAATTTAAAAAGCTTCTGAGGATCACTGGTAGTCCAGTAAAGTGGAGAAACATTGAAATGAAGGCCTGTAATATTTACAATTTAAGATGTGATAGCATGCAATGGGAAGCATGATACCCTCATTCTGTTATTTTTCTGTGTTAAGAATGCTGCAGCTCTGCAGAGCCATGGCACAGCATACTTTTAAGATTGCCACATAAAAAAATACTTTATGCATCTTGTTTTATATATCTTATTACCGAATATTGTTCAAATCTGTATTCCAAGATATCCAAATAATATGTAAAGCTTAGAAATTGTTTAATGCAGTACCTGGAAAAATTCATTTGTCCTTAAAACCTTCTATAATGTGGCAGTTAGAGAAGTGTCCGTATACAGATACCTGAGTGAAGGAACGGTTACGATCTGAGCAAATGCTGTAACTAGTAATTTCCATATCCTAAGTATGGTGTCGTATGTCTGTTTCTTCTTGCAAAGATGTAGAACTAAGCTGTACAAAGATCTCATAAAAAATTCTTTTCTTTTGACAGTTCTGTTAGAAGAAGAAATTGTCAAGACATCTGGACCAGTATGAAAGAGGATTTTGTAATTAGCTTTAAAAACTAGGCTAAGCTTTTAGCTTCCTGCAAATAAGAGGGGGTTTTGGTTTCCTTTCTCTTTTTTTTTTTTTTCTTTAAAGCAGCATACATGCCTGAAGTTAGCCTTTGTTTTGACACAACCATCATTTCCTTAAATGCCTTCCTATAGCTGATAGTCAGTAGGGCCAGGTTGCTCAATTGTATGGTGAATTTTAAAATATTTTTTCATTTTTATAAGTAAGTTGACATTAAACTTTTACCAATTAAATATTTTGGTAATTGTCTTGGGTTTTTTTCTAACTATGTGAATAATGTACTGTATTTTTTGTGTTCTGAAATATACACGCTCCTCCCATGTGTATTTTACCTTTCCACATTTGTTCAGTTGTAAGAATGGAATTTCTTTCTTGCTGCTGTGTTCACTAGCTTTGCAAAGAGAAAAGATATATCAGTTCCTCATTACATAAATTCCGTTGTTAGCTAAACCACAATTCAGTTAACTCTCTAGCTTGTGTGTACTGTTTCTGGACTAGGACTAAATTTGGGTCATAGGTTTGAAAATTTATTAGTGGATATGATGACCTCTTTTGCAGTGGTTCGTTAAGCTTGTTTATATAACCAATATATTTTATTGCCCAAAGCATGTATTTTACATTCTTTCAGTAGGTTTTATTTCCAGGAATGCCTTAAAATAGTTAAATCTGGTTTGAGTATTCAGTCTTGCTTAATGTGCTCGACAACCAAATTGGGTTTAGACTTTGTAAATGAGCAGAGGCATTGTGTTGTGGGCTGCCCTAATAACACCAGCTAACCAATTCATTACATTATAAACTGGCTGGGGAGGTAATACTATATTCCCTTCATATAAATGACATTGATTTTGTTCTTGAACTGAATTTTGAATTATAGGGTATCTGATGTCAATCAGAGACATGCAGGTGGAAATAAATTATTGAAGTTACGGTCTTTTCCATATGTGGAATGGTATAAATACTGCTTTTTTAGAGTTTGGTTTTCAACAGTGCACATGCTTAGAAGTATTTTCAAGTGTGCTTTCAAGGAAAAACATGACAACATGACTTTAAGTACTAATTTTATATTATTTAATTTATAGAAGCCTGGGGCTTGAGGAGATCTATTCTGGCAACGTATTAAGTATTCATGGGGGGTTGGGAAGAGTATTTGCGGTTGCTGGAGAATAAATTCCATGACTGTAAAGGAAAAACAAGATTCTCTATGTTGAATGTTTTTTGTGTGACGGTGGCAGTTGTAAGGAATGAGTTGGAAATAGTATGGTGATACTTGAGCTTTGTCAGACAAGAGCTGTTTGGCAAATACTTTATAGAGCAAGCTTTTCCAGTCAACTTGTGCAAGGAAGGAAACATGACTTTTCTGCTGAGGGGAAAAACGATTAAAATAGAAAAAGTTTTGTTATAAACCTTTTTCCAGCCAGAACATTGCTCAGCATTTAAAGTTTCTTGCATAGCTTTTTATATATAAACATTTTAGCTCAACTTATATTAACACCCATCAGAAAACATTTTTTTCTACTAAGAGCATGAGTTTGTTTTTAAGGCTATGTGTAGGTCCTTTGGCAGGATACTTCCTAAGAGTTACTTAAAGATGCACAATTGCCCTTTTTTTTTTTTTAAAGTTGTTAAAGACTACAAACTATATGACAGACATTTACTATCAGTTAGAGTGCTTTGTTTGGGGACCTTTCTAAAGGAACAAGTCCAAAAAATCGTGTTAAAAATGATTGTAAATTGGATGCCAAGTAGACCTGAATTTTCACAGCCATTCACAGCACAAATCCACAGGGCAGGCACAAGTTGGTTTGCATAACCTTCCTCACACTACGTGTCCTTTAATCTTTATGCCTGATTGTGACACTTACAAAAATTATCTTTTGAGAAAATACAATAATTGTCTTTCTGTACTCACCAAGTCATATCTGGACTTTATTAAAACAACTAAAACTATGGTAGTGCTTTCTGTGATGTAGATGTGTCCAAGTAGGAGTTGAAATAACATTACATGAAACCACATTTTAGTTTATGGCTGAGCAGCAGCCTTCACCCTTCCCTCTTCTGTCCCCAAGGTAAAAAGAACAGTTTCTTTTGCCCAGCAGAAGACGAATTCTAAGAACTAAATCCAACAATACATGTATTCTATTCATGCTTTGTTTTGATTACCTAAATCCAAAATTAAAACTCTCTAAAAATGAGCTTTGGATGCACCTCTGTTCAGCAGTTTTCCCAGCTGTCTGAAGTTGCCTTTCTCTATCAGAGAGGGTGCAAAGTCTGAAGGATGTATAGGAGAAGGATGCAGAGATGGGATTAGGGCTGTCTCTTTTATCCAGCTGGCTGGCTTGTCTGCTGAGCTGCAGTTGTGCCATGACTGACCCAGTACATTCAGATATTTTATGCAGTGAAAACATACTGGCAGAACTGATGATGAATCTCTCCCCCCTGAGAATAGCAGGTTTGTTATTATCTTTATCGACACCTGATTTCTCTCAGATGAAACAGTTAACCTATAATTTAAGCTGGTTTTTACACTAATCTAGTAGAGAGAAAGAGGGGGCCACATTGCTTTTAAAGTGTGTGTGTGTGTTGTTCCAATCTTTCTTCTGTAAGCAAGGCTAGAGGATTCTGCTCAGAAAACACAACTTCTGTATCCCTCATTACAAGACATTTCCTCGTATATAAGACATTTCCTTATATATTCTGTTATCTCGTTCAGGAGAAAGTATGGGTTTTAAAATACCTTGTACTGAATAGTTCTTTTTGACTACCACTAAGTAGAAGGTAAATATCTGCCCAGTCATCTTGGCTTTTGTGAATCCCACACTGCAGCCCTATTGCACTTTCCAGGCATTGCAAAGGAAGTACCTATTTTTTATCCAGAGTGCAGGATTCCACTTTATGGTCACATACGTGAATTTTAAATCGAAACTTGCAACCCAGACTAGCCTGGGCAAAACTGAAAATCATAAACATGAAGTCTTTGTTCTGCAAAATGTGGTTATATTACCTTTCAAGCACATGCCTTTGGAAATAGATCTTGAAATAATAGTCAGTCGTATAAACAACCTGAGGAGTTTCACTCCTGTAAGTACAATTTCTTACAGCTGTATATTGACTTCTGTTTCGATAGATCATCACTAATCTTGAATTGTTTTACTGTTTTAAAAGGTTTGGGATTAATTTAGTTACAACATTAGTATAGGAAATCTTTCATTAGTGTCATTGAAACAATACTCATACCTTTTATGGCAGAACACACATGCTCCTAAGTACTGCTTAGAGCAAAGTTGTTAAAAATTTACTTCACATTGTGAGAGTCTTTCTCATCACTTTCTTTTTTTTCAGATATGCTTTGTAATAAGAAACTGCATAAGTACATGATGCTTGTGTGATAAATTTTAATCTTAACTTTTATATAGTAAAGCCCTTCAGAGCACCTACATACATGGGTTTTTTTCCTTCGTTTATATTGTACTAATGACTTTGGAATTTAAAGGTCACTGTAAAGCACAATATGTTGGCTGAAGAAGCCCATGCAATTTTAATAGTGCTTAGCAGGCTAGTGAAAAAGAGCAATCTTTAACAGTATGCATGTTCTGTGGGAGTTACTGCTTTATGATGTGCAGACATTGAAGGAAGAATGCCAGTGGACTGGAAAGTTGTTAGAGCTTAATGACATCCTGCAGTTAGATAAATGCCAAGGCAAACCAAGCGTGCTCATTTTCAAGATAGGATAAATTGATTGTGTGATAATTTCTTGATTAATTATAAATAATATGTCAATATGATTATTTTCTCCTGCTGTTCATGTAACAGCTTGTCTATGGTAACTTCTCCTTTTCAGTGCACCTCGCTTTTGCCCTGAGAACTTCGTGCATCATGAGCAAGTATGTAGGCATGAAATGTAGTTAAAAACCTGTCTTCTGTGGATGGGTTTTTTGTTTTTCTCTTCCCCCTCCTTCTCCCACCTCCATGACTTACTTCAATTAAATCCAGCATTAACCAGCTTCAAAATAGCAAGGTATTTAGGGGAGTGGGTTGTTTGGGTTTTTAGGAAATACTCTCAGGATATCTAGGAATCTGCATTCTGCCACTGGTGTCAGGTGCAAGCTTAAGCCTAAAACACAGCATTAAAATTTGTTAAGATATTTCAGGAAAAACACATTGCAAATGTCAACATATTGTAATGCAGAAGTAAAATGAAAATTGTCTGGAGAATTTTAATTGCTTAGAAGTTGTGGCACATGAAAAGTAAGCTTAGAAATTACTACTTTCTTATTTTAATAATTTAATTTTAACCATAAAACTGCCCAAACCATTATAGGTTTCTCTCTCCTCTGATTTCATTGCATTTTTTTTATTTCTTTTTCTTGCAGAATAATAGAATTTATTGTTTGATATGAAGTGAGTGTTTGGTCTGTCTTTCAGCTTTTAATGAAGTATCTTTGCGGGGAAGAGAAATAACTTAAAAGACATTAAATCCTCCATTTCATGAGATGACATGCTTTGAAGTTTTTGTCATCTAGACATATGATCTTTCCAACAAGCTTAATTTGACCTAGTTAAACTTAATTTGTCAGCTTAAGAGTTTAAAGCACTCTTACCCGCCCTGATTAAAAGAAGTACAGCATTGTCAGTTCAAGTGTAAGCTCCCCATGAATGCTGCCTTATGAAGAGATCTAGTTTGTTTTATTGAAGTTACTACTTATCATGTAATACTTCATGTAAAATGAAATTGTATTGATAGTACTTTGGGTGTGTTTAATAGAAATTCAGCCGAGATAACCAGTGTTGATAGGTTAAGCAGTGGCAAACATTAACTGAATTGTGTCTTGAGTTGCTATATATGGAAGGATTTCCTCTTAGCTTAGTCATCCAGCGTTGTGCTACAGAGGGCAAAAACACTTTGATTTGCTCTCTCTAGGGGTTTTTTTGTTTACTTTTTTGTGCTGACATATTAAATAGTGTTATATTGTTGGAAGGAGATGATGAAAACTGGTCATGGATTAATAGACTGATTTGGGTGGTAATGGAACTTAACCCAGTACCAACCCCCTGCCATAGTCAGGGATACCTCCCACTAATCCAGGTTGCTCAGTGCCTCATCCAACCTGGCCTTGAACCGGTCCATAGTATTGTTAACTTACCATGTATTGGGTCTTCTCCTGTGGTGCTATGTAATGAAATATCATTAATTTGTTTAATAATGCAGATGCAGTAAGAGGAGAATATGTCTCCTGCCAAGGGTATTGAGGAAACAATTAAATTGATCTCTCAAGTTCTATTGTGTTATTCCCATTTCCTTTTTTTAGAGAAAGTCCCCATTTTGTACTTCCCGTAGTGCTGGAATTAGGCAAAGAGTAGGTTTTGGAAAGGCTACAGTACACATCATTGAAATATGCCTGTCTGGTTCTCCTTTTCTAGGGGTATTTTTTTTTCATTTTGTTTCCCATGTATAATTTCATAACTATATGTGCCATTTGGTTCATTTAAATAAATAGGCAGGAAAAAATACAATTCAATGGAAATCCACTATAAACTCCAGAGTTTAATATAGTGGAATTGTAGTGAATCTTGTAGTTTAAAAGAAAGAAGATATTAGAATTACAGACGTACACATAGATTATGTGGATTCAACTTACTCTCTTCCTGGTATTTCCTGTGATTAATGGTTTAGAGATATAACAAGAAATCAAGTGTGATGCTTTGGGGATACTAGTAAATGAACATGGTTTATTACTGGATAGAGCTGGTGCTGTCAGACAGTCTGAAATAGTGCTGTGTCAGAACACAATAGTTCAAGCTTCCTGCTTTTATTAATTAAATTGTGTGTGTGTCTGTAATAGAAACCTTACAAGATCTGTCAGGTAATGGGGGAGTTTAATATGTACAAAACCAAGATGGCTGATACTGCCATCCTCTTGGGAGTGAGTAGTGAAGGATTTTACATATACCTACTGAGGGAAAAGAAGAATATGTGACAATTCTTGTGCTTTATTTTGGAATTGGAATGCCCAGACACGTCTTCCTCTGAAGTAAATAATTTAACTTTATAAACATCAACAATAAGAACTTAATGCTTTCAGCAGATTTTAGTAGTAAAATAATAACTTTTCAGCAAAAGATTTTTTTTTTTTTATATAGGCAGCATTATTTCAACCAGCAACTTTTGTAAACTTGAGATTGCTGTGCTGAGTTCCGTTAGCACACCATGTACATATTATTTATACCAAAACAAGTAGAGTGTACCTATGCCAGGTATGATGGCATTGCCTGGAGTAAGTACCACAGTATCGACAGTAATATTTTTAACTTGGGTCACAGTGTGGATGGGGCAACTGATTTGGTTTTCAAGACAATTCTAACTCTGCACTAAAAATTAATTTTAGTTTTCATGCTCAGTTGGCGTTTGTACCTCAGACACACATTGTAACAATTTTGCTTCCAAGTTGTGTGCTGTGTTTGAAAAAATACTGCATTTTTGAACAACATTTTCTCTTCATTGTGTTCATTCCCTTTTGGAAAATAACACTGAATTTGATCAGAAACCATATTTAGCTGATTGTGACAGAGCCTGTCAGTGCGGATTTAAATAATTCAGTCTGTAGTAAAACTTGCCTGAGTTATTTTCAGGTGGATATCTGATTAATTCTAAATTCCCTGTGGATTTGTGTAGCCCAGAGTTCCATTTGTTTTAAAACAAATACATTTAAGAATAAATTCTATGCTTCAGCGGGTTTTTCAGATAAGGACCGAAGCAAGTCCTTATAAATAGCAGAGTTCATAAACCGTGGGTAAGAGTCTCTGTGCATTAAGGTATAGATTTGAAGCTGTGCGTCATCAAAGGTGTGTTGTGAGGGTTCCAGCATATTTCGGTTAATCACTTCTCTTACTCTGGAGTCCAGGCTGACCTGTGTATTAAAATAGAAAGTCATGTAAATAATAGTGGTGAATAGTACAGATGGGGTTTTAGGTTTCTTTCATAGGTTGAAAAAGCGATCTTTTTTAACCATTTCAGCTGATGTCTTCCAAGAGTGTAAAGACTGATAAATATACTTAGGCAAAATTGAATGTGTTAAAATTTGGAAGTAGTAATATCTTGACTATGGATACAGAAATGTCTTCACTGAGGTACCTTACTTGAACAAGGCTGCCTGCAATCCTATTATTACTGCAGTCTTAGAGACCGGTGGGTTATTTCCAGACCAACTTCCTGCTCGGTGGTAGAGAGGATTTGTAATTTTTTGTGATGGTTCATTTCCTGGAGAGTTAGTGCTGTTGTAAAGAGACTGAATTTGGAGTAAGCAGTATGACGCAGTCGGAAAATGTGACCTGGGAAGCTGTTGCTTAATCAAATTCCTGTTAAAAAGCAGGGTGAATTGATGTGAACCACAGGTATGGTTATATAATAATTCCATACAACATGCAAGTAATGTAATTTTTTCTTTCTACAAGGCTGTAGTGTCTATAGAAAGACTTTAGTATTATGAGAATAGACTGATTAGGTTTAACCAGTATTTTTATAAGTACGTAAGTATAGCTTGCACCACAACAATTAAGTTGCAGTTTTGCAAGGATATTGAAAGATTTAAAATTCCAGCCTGCTTGGCAGTTCAAACTGAACAGAGGTGTCTTTTAAGCTTGACATATTTGCTAACAGCGAAGTGACAAGTAGTTTTAAAAATTTTCAGGAAGTTGTTGTGTTTGTTCTATGGCATGTTTTGTCAGCTGCTCTTCGAGCGATTTGCGAATAACACTTTCTTTGTGGTTAATGTGCTTTTGGAGAGATGTGTGCACCACCTTCCTAGTGCAACAAGAAAAGAAACTTTGTCCAACAGACGAAATTTAGGTTTAGCAAGGATAACACCTCAGTGATGGGTGCCTCCTTCCCCTAAATCTCTGCTTGATTGAAGTGGACTTGGGGGATGTGAAAAAAGTTCTCCCTGAGTACTGGTGTAGCCTTAAACAAGTTAGAACTTCTGTGCAAAGCAACATCAAAGAATGTATTAGGAAAAGTAATATACCTCTTTTGGAGAAAGGATAGAAATATAGTCTTCATAAATTAGTCTTGCTTTTTCTTCAATGACACTTTTGTTGGATTCTTGCTTTAGTTCCTCACAGGCCATCCAGAAAAGCATGTTTTCCTCGCTGAATTCTGTTCGTAGAAATTCACGAAAAGCATTTCTGCCAGCTGGTGTAAGCATCAACTTGTCAAATGACTGAGCCCAGGCATTTACTTCTTCAAGAGTAGGAGCAGGGCTTGAGGAGGAAGAAGAGCACAAGAAGAGAGAAATAAGTGATTGTTACTCAAGCTTTTTGTAATTGGGAGGAGGTATGTGCCATCACAATGGAACAAAATCATAAGGTTCTTGGGGCTCTGATTCCTCACTGGAACTATTCAAGTGCAAACTCTAGTAAATACATTTATAAGATATTTTTTGAAAGTGTGCTTATCAGAAGCTCTGATGCAGATGATTGCCAGTGCTTTGATGCAGAAATTGCAGTTTACTGCTCTAAGTAATTGCAACAAAGAAGTACCCCTGCAACAGCTAAGCATTTTTTTTGTACCTAATAATCCTTGTTGTTGTTAAAAATTGTTTAAAATTGAATGAAAATCCGTATAAAGAAGCAATGATTCAAACACTATAAAAGGTACCCACCTGTATATTACCATTTTGCAGTTGCTTTTACCTGTTCGAGCAATTCTGAAGACTGTTGCTTAACTCTTGGGAACTCTTGAGCTCCTTTTTATATTTATTATTTTTGTAAGGCTGAGCACTGCTAGTTAACCTCATTACATAGTTGCTGGGTGGGAACAGGATGTATTTTCAAATTATTTCAGAAAAAAGGGAGACTGTTTACAGTGTTGGCTTTGATCTGTCATGTTATGAGAGTAGTTACGTGTGGTTACATGCTGCGTATAAACAAGGTAAAATATTATAGATCAGACCTTTGGAGGTAAAAAGCAGATGACTAGTAGATAATAGCTATTTTCATGTTTCAGGTAATTCACTGAAATGACTTAGTGTGGTTTGTTGGGTTTGTTTCATTTTAGCTTGACAGAACACTTAATAAAGACCATACCTTTCCTCGCAGTTTGGAATACCCTCTGCTTGTAGTTCGTGGGATGTTGTCCTTGCTCTCTCTTCATCTTGATTTCTAACAGTAAGGCTGCAAGGTAGCAAACAAAATTTTAGACAACTTTGTAGAGAAAAAGGCTGAACATAGATATTAAAAAAAAAAAAATAAAAAAGCTAAAAGGACAGAAGCTAATGACAGCCACATTAGCCATAGTTAAAGTCTGACCTTAATTTTACAGTTGTATAAACCTGGCAAACTTGAATGTAGCTGAATGCTGTTTGATATTGTATCACATAGACTTTCTACAGAGGGATCATAGATCCATAGAATATCTCAAATTGTAGGGGATCCATAAGAATCATCAAGTCCAGTTCCCTATATATGTGTATACACGAGTATATATGCATATGGGATATATATGTATACGTGCCTACCCTTTATTATATATCAAATCTATTCTCCGTTGATGCTTATTATACTCTGTATGCTCAACGCACTGTTTTTACTTAGGTTAGACTTGATGCACTGGTTTTATGTGAGTTAGATTTCAAGGTAGGTGTTTTTGAATTTGTTTAGTTAGGGGTTTTTTTCCTCCTTGGCTATTTTTTTTATATCCATAGGGCACAATGAGGGCTAAGACTCTGTTTTGGAGTGGTAATACCATGTTACAAGAAAGCCAGAGTTCAGAAGCTGGATATAAGTTTTAAGTAAGCTAGAGACTTTCATATGTAATGTTGGAAAGGTAAGCATCTTTCAGAGTTAAGATGTAGATATAGCCAGATTGTGTGGTAATTGATTGCAGCTTTAAGAAAGTTCTAGTATATGCTTCAGAATGTGAATGAGGCCTGGAGCACAGAGTGGATCTATCATTGCTGAATATTGTTTTGAATATGTCTGACTGGAAGCACTTGTTTGTAGCATTACCAAAAAAAAAAAATTGCTGCAATCACTAGCAATGTCCCATGGAAGGATAGCTGTCAAATTGTGCTGCTTTCATCAAATGTTAGCTTAGATGGCTCGAGTTTGTAAAAATTTCTTTTGTAGTTGTAAATGATTCTTTTTCATTTGAAACTGGATTTGAGAAAATACATTTTGTTTTTAGGGAATGGAGACTACATTCCAGTATATCTAGGTCTTCATAACTTAGTGAGAAATGCATGTGCATACACACAGACATGCATATAATCTGTAAAGCTGCTTAAAATATGTCAAGAAGAAAAGGTCCCTGTAATTTATATGAAATGGGTTCTCCAGCTGAAATAAAGCAACACAGTTGTTATAATTTGATAAATATCAAACTTAATTTCTTCATTTGTATCTTACCTTTCATCCATTCTGATGTTCTAAATTTTGTTACCTTAATCCTTAAGAGTCTCATTTATCTCTAATAAGATTTTATGTTAAACAGGTTGATTTTTCTGCCCTTTTTGCCTTCTAAACTCTTGGCTAAATCTTCTTTGCAGCCTTACTGTTTACTAGGTATCTCCTTCTGCTTTGCCTACTCTTAGTCCATGATTTGCAGAGACCTGCTTTTTTCTTTGCCGGGGCAGTCCATGCATTGAAGAGGTAGGAAAGGTTTCCTATTGGGGAGCAGATATTGCAAACAGTTTTTTTCAGCAACATCTGAACCATACATTCAAACCAATGAACTATTTCAATTTACCTTTCCAGAAAAAAAGAAAAAAGTAAGTAGTAAACCGAGTTCTCTATTCTTTTGGGTTATATAGGTCTGAAGCATTTGCTACCCTTTTTACTGGCCTTTTTTGAATATATAAACTGATATATTATGTATTCCTCCTCACACACAGACAAGAAGTGATATTCTTGTCATAGCTATTTTTGGATTTAGGGGAACCAAGATCCAATAGAAAGGATTACAGTCTTCATAGGATAATGCACAAAAGGGGAAAAAAGACAAAAGAAATAACAAAAGCTTACCTAAGAGAACACACCATGTTTCAGAAAATTACTTACAGGCAGGTTTTTTTCCCTAGAAATGTAAACAATAAAGAGACTAGTGCAACACTACATCCTCTCAGGATCTGGAAGAGTAACAGCCTGGAGGCTTGAGTTTTGGCTGTAGGAATGAACATAGGCTCTGAGCATCCAGCTGAGAAACTCATTTAACTTCATTCTAAATCTACTATTAAGAGTATGCTGAATATTGGATGTTCAGCAGCTCAGCTGCATGACTCATGTAGACTGTTATTTTTATTCTTATTCATAATTTTTCTGTTCCAAGTGCGTGGGCTATTTTGAGGAAAGGGTCTATGAATAGGGAATATAAATAGCTTAATTACGGTTTGTTTTGCATTTCTTGCTACTAGAAAACAATTGTTCTCAAAAAAAAAAATCAGGAATTATTTTAAAGCTAAAACAAGTTGCTCTGTTTCGGAGCCTGTATTGGTTTCCCAGATGATTCCGAAACACAAATAGGAGTTTTAAGCATCATGAAATTTGGGTACTTTCACACACCCTATTGAGTAAATTACTTTCTTTGAATTGTTTGAATAGTGACATGCACAGAAAATGAGCATTCTGGAAAATATCAGGTAAAATGTCAAAAAAAAGCACTTTATCAACAATTTAAAAGGTAAAATGCAAATTTTTTTTACTCTGACTTAGATAAACATGTCTTATTTTTTCCTTTTATGGAAAAACATGTTTGTGTAATGAAGCTCTGGACTGAGCCACTTGCAATTGCACTGGACAGCTGTTGAGATGACACTGAAATTTGTATGGGATGCTTTAACATAGATGTCATTCTGCAAGGTAGCAAACTCTGATCCAGCACAGGCACAGTACTTAATAGCTCTTTAAATTCTGCCTTAGTTTACCTCTAAGCACCTGCTGAAAAGCTTTTTAGGATCAAAGCCAGAGTACTGGGCATTTTGCAAAAAACCTGTCCAAGCAACCTTTTATCCTTGCAAAATATTCACTGTTTGAATTAGGGAGGGCAGAATTTTGGGTGTCTTGTCTTCTACTGAGCTGAGTACCAATACCAAAGAAACAATCAGCCTGCTCTTCCCTTGCCTTCTAATGGTGTTCTCCAAAGCATTTGCCACGAGGTGCTGTTGGAAAATTGGTGGAATAGATTCCTAGTGTGGGCTCTAAGTCTGTTTATGACTTCTTCCCTTTCCCCCAGTGCCAGGTTTGCTTGTTCTGAGGTGGATAGTGAGTTTATAAAACGCACTCTGCTTGCTGTCAGTGTTTTGGTTGAACTCCTATGGCTGTTTAAGACTTTTTCTTTATTTAAATGCAAGTTCTGGTCTCATCCCCTAAACAGATACACATAGAGTATGGAAAGATTTACTGCAGTTTTGAATGAAATCACTTGGATCTAGAGGAGCTGGTGAGAAAGTGAAAGTGAACACATCATTAATTTAAGGAATCAAGTGATTCCTTCTCCTTTTTTGCTTTGATTACCTGATAGATTTCTTTCCTTAACACCCTGTAATGGGAGTTCTTCAGAATTATTTCTGCTTAACTCCTGATCTTCAGCAAGTACTCACAATGTTTAAGTCTCTGATCCCAAGGATTATCTTCAAATGAGTTGCAGGTGCCGTGAGTTGGCAGAACTAATTAATGACAACAGATCCGGTTGCCTTCAGGGGAAAAAGAACAGTGCTGGGCACCTGGTTATTCATTTTCTGACCTACAAATTCTTCCACCTTCTACTAACTCCATTTAACACCCTCAGTGCTGCTTGTTGAGTCCCAAATCTAAATCTAAAGCTGTGATACATTCTGGTATTGCTTTCAGTTTTTTGTGGAAGCCTTGGTGAATCTCAATGCTGAGGAGAACCAGTCCTGCACAAAACAGACCTTCCATTGCACAGTATTAACAACAAAAGTACAACAGAGATACTCTGCAACTATTTTTTTAAGAATCTGTTATTTCAATGGCAGGGCAAAGATAGAGTAGACTGAAGTAGAAGGTTGTGCACAGTCATCTCTCCCAGTCCCAGATTTGCAGAGTTACGCAGGTGTTTTGTTTGGCTTATGTTGTCCCATATACTAGATATGTGTTCCTTCCCTGCAATTCTGTTCCCCAGAGGTTTTAAGGAGAGGGGTTACCATGAGCAGCTGCAGCAACAGCACCAACAAAAGCAGCAGGCATTGGACCCTCGATTTCCCGTGCTGAGCTGAGCCTGTGCAGCACTTGGGGTGTCCTGGGTCGTAGACATCTGCCGTTTGCGCATCTCCGTCCTCTCTGATCCCATGGGCTGCAAGACAGCAAAAGAGTGGGGAAGTAAGAAATCTCTCTCTCTCTCTTTTTTTTTTTCCTTTTGTTTGCTTTAGAAGTCTTACCAAGAAGTGCTGAAGGCCACAGCTCCAAAGGAACTGAAAAGCTGAACACCTGATTTTCCCCCATGGAAGCCCTTAAGTGTTGAATCCACTGGAAGATTCACTCATTTAAGTGCTGTGATGGAAGGCAAAGGGCTAATGATTTCTGCACATGGGTGGGAATACAATGAGAAGGGAGTGGTGATGCAGAGAACAAAACATACAAGTGAGGGGTCTTGAAGATCTCTTGGCACAGTGGTATATAAGCCAAAGAGCTGAAAAGTATTTCCTGAGGTTTTGACTTCGAGGCCAATCCTAAAGAAAATGGTAAAGAATAGAGGGAGTTAGGGCCTCTTTTTTTATTTCTTTTATCTCTTTTTCTTACACTCAATTAGCCAATGCACAAACTTAATGATACTTGAGTGAGACACCTGAGCTCTCCTGAAAATCTGGTCTTTGTTGAGTATTGAGGATGTCTCAAACCTGCTGGTTGCCACTGTAGCAAAGGGGGAAGCGCTAGTGCTCACTTGTCCGTTGTAGGTCTGACTGCCACAGTTTTTAAAACATTTTTTTCTCAAGAAGGAATCGAGTGCTTATGTGAATAATAGGAGAAAACACACAAATAGATGATAATAATGACAGTATTTTGGTTGACCCCCAACTGAAGACAGTGTGAAACAGTTTTTGATGGATGCACTGTTTGGTTTTTTTGCACTGTTCTAGGAAACCTTTTTGGAGCCTGCATTTTGCAGATTATGCAGAGAATTGGTGTTGATGAAATGAAGTTCCCTTAAAGTCCCTGTCCCTTTCTGACCTATCTTTGAGCTTCATATTTGCTCTACAGCACTTAATAATGCTCTCCCTGTTATGCTGAGGGTTGTGCCATATGTAAGTGACAGATGTCTTTTATAGATGAAATGCCAGCTTGTACAAAAATGAGTATGTCTTTCTTCATTTTATTTGTATTTGACTTTTGAATACATAATATAACTAGTCATCCTCCTATGTCACGAGATGCTTTTGTGTGTAGGTTTGTTTCAGGTTGCTAAACCTTCTTTTTAGGCCATAATGGTTGTAGGGGAATTAAAATTAGCTGCTACCAATTTTGAGTTCTTTTTTAAATTGATAATTTAGTATCAGACTTGAATCTAATGAAATGAATACTGGGGGGTTAAAAGTTGCCTTCCTTTTTAAGATGTTCAGCCAAGTTTAGGAAATACTGTTGTTGTAACTTGAGGGGAAATGTACAGACGTTGTCATGTACTCGATAGAAGTGTCAGGAGAAGAAAGGAGGTTATTTTAGCAGAGTGCAGCATTACATTTTGCTGCACTTTGGCTACTGGATTTTTTTAATGCTGAATTTCTTTCTGTCTTATAGAGCTTAGCAGTTTTTATATTTGTGAGAACCACCTACTCTCCCAAGAGAAAAAAACATGACATGGTGAGCAGAAGATGCACCTGTTTTTCAGGAGGAATAAAATACAAGAACAACAATACAGATAGAAATTGTAACCCATATACAGATAGAAATTATAAACCATTTTGAAACTCTGTAGACCTAACTGACAAGCAATACCTAAATGACCAGAAATAGAAAATCACAAAAAAAACATAGCTTCCCATCCCCCCAACATTTCTTGTTTCAAAATGTGGAAGAATAAATGTGAAATGCAGAATGAATTTGTAGATTCAAATTTCTTTCCTTCAGAGTTTCAGATTCACAGGAATAGAATGAAACTCTTTAGTATTAATTTCCTTCCAGATACCTATACTTTTTAAAATAGAGCCTTTTCACAATTTCAATTAGAAAGTGATAGTATAATAAAGCATTATTGGAAGAATAATATATCTAACACTATTTCAAGCGGTTTTGAACAGTAAACAATTATTATTGATTAGAAAAATGTAACTTGGATTCAGATGTGCTGTTTATATGGCCTAATCCATACACTCTTACTTTTGAGATGTTTTATGTAGGTAGGTCACTCATTCATATCTCTAATTCATATGTCAATTGAACTAATAGTGATCTGAGTAGAAAATTTTGTTCCTGTTGTCTGCTTTTTCCCAAAGAGAAATGTATGGATGGGGAAAATAGGAAGAATACACTCTTCCTCCCTGCCTCGTTCCATCATGACTTAATTCAAGAGATCTTTCTGGATCCATTGTTACCATTTTAGGTGGTTCTTCAGAATTTTCTTTGACATCTTTAATGACATGGAAGAATATGTAAGTAGCTGCATGACAAAAACTGCCCAACATCATCATGGCTTTGTTTCACTTCTGAATCATAGCGCATCTAACTATGACTGGTGCAGAAGAATTGTAGGAGTTTGTGTTGTTAATTTAGAAAGGGGAACTGGGAAATGTATTGAACTTCTGATCAGTAGAAGCTTACGATGTTCTGTTGCCCTGTGTTTCATTCAGAGATAAATAATAAGTTAGCCTGGGCACAACCTAATCTCAATGGCAAGAGAGCTGAGCGGTGGTGCAGGTTATTACAGAGTTGTAGAAACTCCTTTGGCTCAAATAGTATTAAGACCCTTAGGACAAAACCATGTCAAGCTGGTTCAGGTTCACAGAACAAGCAAGGAGTAAGTGATCCATCTCAGTTTTTTAAACTTCATTCTTCCCTGCTTTTATCTTTTTTATTTCTCAAATGCAGCTCTGGCTCTGTCATCAAGCATGTTGCTCTATATACACCTTTCTACATGGACCAGCTCCGTTGGCCATGTAAGAGTGATTAATCTCCGGGAGAAGCGGATATGTTGCATCAAGTGTGGGGGCTTTTTCATCCTCTAACCAGAATCACAAAATAAAGTTGACCCTCATGTTTGCAGCGTGACTTGTTGCAAATGTACAGTTGTATTGTACACTTTTGTAATGCCAGACATGAGGCCCGAATGCACAGTAAGATGTAGTCTTTGCCTAAGTTATGTCAGATTTTCTTATCTATATTTATGGATATTCACTGGTCAGATTATGTGACCAATACATCTGTTCTAGAACAAGCAGCAATCACAAGTATTGAGGCCATCGTTGCTCGGAACACGATGCGTTGGGCTAGCGACAACGTCTTCCAGATGAACGGACCACCGGCCTCCCTAAGACTTTGCTTTAATGTGAACTGTGCCACCACAGCTTGCCGCCAAGAGAGGAGCCCCAAAGAGAAGAATTACAAGGAACTCCCCGAACAACAACTATTTTTCAGCCTTGGCCATATTGATCAACATAACTGGTCTACTCTGGCCTCCAATTGGGAGGTCTGGACACACACCATCTATAACGCTGCTGATGCTTTTGAGAACGCACGCAGGATCACCCTTGAGGAGAAAAGACAACGCAGAAAGAATCGTGTCTTGCAGAATATATCTCCTAAGGAGTCTTTCTGCTGTGCCTTTTGCAACCAGACACGTCTATCTTGTATTGGCCTTTTCAGCCACCAACGCGCTTGTAACAAACGTGGGTAGAGCCCTCCCCAAATCTTCGTTCGCGAAGCCCAGCCATGATGATGACACTGGCTTTCTAGATTTCTTTGCTTTTTAGAAAAAAAAAGAAAAAAAAAAGGTAATTTAAGAAAAAAAAAAGGAAAAGGTAAACCAGTGAAGCCCAAATCCTGCAATTTTGCAGCTGTGCATGGTGATACAGCTCCCTGTCTGCTGCTTTTGCTCTTACATAAACTCAGTGTCTGTGCCTTTGCCTCTATTCCAGGCAAGGAGCAGCTTATGTAAGTCATTTAAGGATTCATTTTCAAAGGAAAGTACCTTAAAAAGTATTAAGGCTATCCGAGTATGACTGTACACAGGGAAGTATAATGATCTTGGAAGGTGTATGGAAAAAGGTCATAGAGATGAAGCAAGTTGTCTGAGATGCAGTGAGTTAATGACAGAGCCATGAGTGAGACACAAACAGAAAAACCTTGTTTAATGTATATAGATGTCTTTCTGCTACTTCTAGTATATCCAGAATGTCACTATGGGAATTGGAAGTTTTCCATCACGCTTTGCTACTTCTCAGTGAAACCACCATAGCTGTATAATGAGCCTTGCCAGGCAACTGCTTGAATTACTGTTGTGAGTTTTGCTGTGTGCAGGAATGGCTAGTAGATTTGTCAGTTGCTCCAGTGAATATTATTTGTAGGAATTAACAAAATGTCTTACTTCTTCATAGTACAAGCCACACGAGCAACAGTTTGAACAATTGCTTGACTGACTTGTGGATCTGTGGGAACTGAGGTTGTTATTTTTTTCTTACCACCGTAGACTTCAGGTGCACAGGACAAAAAGGAGAGGGTTTTTCTAGACCTCCTAGTAAAAAGGTCTTCTATTCATATAATTTTACAGTTGTTAATTTGGGACATCGGGTGGTCTGACTGGGTCATGCAGTAAGTGTAAAACCAATTAGAAAATCTAGTATCTGTGTTCTTTGCATCAGTGATGAGACTTGCGATATATATTAGTTGAAGAATTATTCACCTGTAGCTCCTCCTGCTATAGTATGTGGTACTGGTGACCCCTTAAAGTTTATTATCCCACAGTACTAGGCCAAGGATTGCCAACTGTAATCAAAGTGAATGAAAGTGTGACTCCTAATTTTGCAAGAGGGCTTTCCTTTTTTTCTAGGCTGATATTGTGGCTGATCAGGTTGTTTTAATAATGAGAAGTCTGAATTGTCAACAGCATTTTGATCTAATAGTTCACCTTAAAGCTGCTAGAGGAATGACAAATATTGATACTTATCATTTAGCTAAAAACTTTTCTTTCCTTATCCTGTCTGAGAATACCTTTGGCAGATCCACAAATGGTAGAGTGGGGAAGTAGCTGAAGAAGCACATGGGTGTGCCCCTCTTGCCAGCTGCTGCATTTCATAAGGAGTTTAAGAGGTAGCCTAAACCTCTTCCCACAACCTGAATGTGATGCTTAAATAACCATCTCTGTTT